TGCTTCAAGCTATTGCACAGCCTGACATACAAACGAAGGACGATGACCGCAAGAAAGATGATGACAAGAAAAAGGACAACTTGTGAAAGCTTGGCTGTCTGTATGTCAGCTTGGTTCTGAGTCATGCCTAGTTCCGAAGTGTTAAATGCTTCTGAGATGCCTGACGACTGTGTCAAGTGTCAAGAGAATGTTCTCACAATGCAGGACGACGACAAGAGGAAAGATGATGACAAGAAGAAGGACAGCTGGTGCAAGCTTGGCTGTGTTCGTAAGGCTTAAGTTGTGCTCCTGTCTGACTATGTGAAGCTTTTGCAGAGCCTGGAGACTTTTTAGCCGGAGAAAGTTCCGATAAATATGTCCAGCGAGAGTTCTGACAATGAAGGACGATGACAGGAAGAAAGATGATGACAAGAAAAAGGACAGCTTGTGCAAGCTTGGCAGTCTGTATGAAGGCCCTTGTCCTTCCATTCAGCTTGATCGTGACTCCTGCCTAGTTCTTCGTTTGCCAAGCCTGACGACTGTGTCATGGGGGAATGTTCGCGCAACGCAGGACGATGACAGAAAGAAAGATGATGACAAAAAGAAGGACGGCTTGAGCAAGTTTGCAAAAGCCTAGGGCATGCTAGTCTTCTAGTCCTGGTAGTCAAAGTTGTGCTCTTGTCTGACTATGTGAAGCTTTTGCGAAACCTGGAGACGTGTGTCCACAGAGAGTTCCATCAATGAAGGACGATGACAGGAAGAAAGATGATGACAAGAAAAAGGACAGGTTGTGCAAGCTTGGCAGTCTGTATGAAGGCCCTTGTCCTTCCATTCAGCTTGATCATGACTCCTGCCTAGTTCTTCGTTTGCCAAGCCTGACGACTGTGTCATGGGGGAGTGTTCGCGCAATGCAGGACGATGACAGAAAGAAAGATGATGACAAAAAGAAGGACAGCTTGTGCAAGTTTGCAAAAGCCTAGGGCATGCTAGTCTTCTAGTCCTGGTAGTCAAAGTTGTGCTCTCGTCTGACTATGTGAAGCTTTCTGCGAAACCTGGAGACGTGTGTCCACAGAGAGTTCCATCAATAAAGGACGATGACAGGAAGAAAGATGATGACAAGAAAAAGGACAGCTCGTGCAAGCTTGGCAGTCTGTATGAAGGCCCTTGTCCTTCCATTCAGCTTGATTGTGACTCCTGCCTAGTTCTTCGTTTGCCAAGCCTGACGACTGTGTCATGGGGGAATGTTCGCGCAACGCAGGACGATGACGATGACAGAAAGAAGGACAGCTTGTGCAAGTTTGCAAAAGCCTAGGGCATGCTAGTCTTCTAGTCCTGGTAGTCAAAGTTGTGCTCTCGTCTGACTATGTGAAGCTTTTGCGAAACCTGGAGACGTGTGTCCACAGAGAGTTCCATCAATAAAGGACGATGACAGGAAGAAAGATGATGACAAGAAAAAGGACAGCTCGTGCAAGCTTGGCAGTCTGTATGAAGGCCCTTGTCCTTCCATTCAGCTTGATCGTGACTCCTGCCTAGTTCTTCGTTTGCCAAGCCTGACGACTGTGTCATGGGGGAATGTTCGCGCAATGCAGGACGATGACAGGAAGAAAGATGATGACAAGAAGAAGGACTGCTTGTGCAAGTTTGCAAAAGCCTAGGGCATGCTAGTCTGCTAGTCTGCTAGTCAAAGTTGTGATCTTGTCTGACTATGTGAAGCTTTTGCGAAACCTGGAGACGTGTGTCCACAGAGAGTTGCATCAATGAAGGACGATGACAGGAAGAAAGATGATGACAAGAAAAAGGACACTTGTGCAAGCTTGGCTGTCTGTATGAAGGCCCTTGTCCGTCCAGTCAGCTTGATTGTGACTCCTGACTAGTTCTTCGTTTGCCAAGCCTGACGACTGTGTCATGGGGGAATGTTCGCGCAACGCAGGACGATGACAGGAAGAAAGATGATGACAGAAAGAAGGACGGCTTGTGCAAGTTTGCAAAAGCCTAGGGCATGCTAGTCTTCTAGTCCTGGTAGTCAAAGTTGTGCTCTCGTCTGACTATGTGAAGCTTTTGCGAAACCTGGAGACGTGTGTCCACAGAGAGTTCCATCAATGAAGGACGATGACAGGAAGAAAGATGATGACAAGAAAAAGGACAGCTTGTGCAAGCTTGGCAGTCTGTATGAAGGCCCTTGTCCTTCCATTCAGCTTGATCGTGACTCCTGCCTAGTTCTTCGTTTGCCAAGCCTGACGACTGTGTCATGGGGGAATGTTCGCGCAATGCAGGACGATGACAGGAAGAAAGATGATGACAAAAAGAAGGACGGCTTGTGCAAGTTTGCAAAAGCCTAGGGCATGCTAGTCTTCTAGTCCTGGTAGTCAAAGTTGTGCTCTCGTCTGACTATGTGAAGCTTTTGCGAAACCTGGAGACGTGTGTCCACAGAGAGTTCCATCAATGAAGGACGATGACAGGAAGAAAGATGATGACAAGAAGAAGGACAGCTTGCGCAAGCGTGGCAGTCTGCGTAGAGGCCTAGACCATGCTAGTCAAAGCTATGCTCTCGTCTGACTACGTGAAGTTTTTGTGGAGCCTGGAGACAGTATGTCCAGAGAGAGTTCCGACAGTGAAGGACGATGACAAGAAGAAATATGATGACAAGAAAAAGGACAGCTTGTGCAAGCTTGGCTGTCTGCGAAAAGATTTGGTGCTGTTTCCTGACCACTTAACCCCGATGCGCAGCTTGACGTTATTGATAGCCAGAGCTACGCTGACAGGTACGGCATTTTGCAAGCTTGTAAGTATATGTCCAGACAGCGTTTCCACAGCTTTTTGCACGAAGGCCTTTGTCCTTACAGTCAACTTTTCACTCCTCACCGATAACGCCGATGCGATTCCTGACGTTGTTGACCATGAGATGTATGCTCACAGCAGTCCATCCGTAGTAGCTTGTATTTGTAATTGCTTGCAGGACGACGACAGAAAGAAGGATGACGACAAGAAGAAGGACACCGACACGATTTGTATAGGTATGCTGACTGCTTGGAAGCCTGCGAGAAGGTCAAAGAGATGCGCTGTTAACACATTCTGTTTCCTCTATTGAATAAACGGAGAGGAGGGACGGTGGACAGGGCCATAGGCAACATACTCTCCATACCGCTCGTGTCCAGGATGTTGCAAATTCTTCATTAAATGTATACGAGGCGACTTGATCAGAAGCTCTCCAAGTGTTCCAGACCTCGAATCTTTGCCTGATTCCTGAAGCATACGATCCGTGCAATGCGATTGCTCGTGAACTATGACTTTCTGAGAATCTACCTCCATCCACTTCTCATAATCGTTCATCGGGGGACACCTGGAGACTCGCCGATCTCAGCAGTGCACAGGAATCGATATTATTGCCTCGAATTTGTTCCTCGATCCATCTGCTGTGGTTGTTCTCTCTGCGACTGGGAGGACGATGATGGATCGCGGAGGCGCAAGGACTGGAGCCGTTGTTGATGTATCTGCCGGTACACCTTGTTCTTGACGCTCATCCAGCATAAGCGGAAACTTTGGATGAGAGCGATGGCGACGATCGCAGACGCCGTCGCAAGGGCTCTCACAGTCAACATGAAGTCTTTCCAAAAGCCCTTGGGTCGTGCTCAAGTCTCTGGTTGCTACCAGCTTGCTTTTCACAACAACTGTTTCGGGTTGAGGGATTGAGATTGGGTGGTTTTGAGCTTGGGTGGTTGTGCATGATTTGGAGGTCAGCGCTGTGATGCGGGCTTTGCTGCTGAACAGGGTCGAAGGTAGGGCCCACCAAATGTGACGAGGACGATGATGGATCGCGGAGGCGCAAGGACTGGAGCTGTTGTTGAGCTGTTTGCTTGTGCAGCTGCCTGGTTTTGGAAACACGACCGAACGCATGGATGAGGGCGATGACGACGATGGCGGTCGCCGTCGGAAGGACCTTCGCATGTGAGCATGCGCACGCATGGTATATGGTGCTTCTTGTCAGCAGCAAGTGCTGCCTGATTCTGGGTTTCTGCTCTCAGGCAACTGATAAGGTGCGCAAGAAGGTGTAGTGCTGGTTGGCCACAATCTTCACGACATGTTCCTGGAGATCATTTGCCACTAGGACGATGATTCATCGCGCAGGCGAAAGGACTGGACATTGCATGAATGAATAGCGTGTCGTGGATGTGCTTCTGTGAGTTTCTGCGACGTGTCCCTTCCCGTACGTACCGTTCAGGACGACGACAGCTGGTTGGGAAGACGACGCAAGGACGCATCTGACGATTCCAGCTGGCAGTGTAGCTGCTGCGTGATGCTGAGAGAGACGGCAGCAGCAACAGCATTGTTTCCGCAGCGTACGCGGTTCAATGCCGTACAACGAACCCGTTTCCTAATCGCACGAACTCAAAATTCAATTAATTTGCTGAAGGTTCTTCGTTTCGAAGATGTAGATGTAGTGCAGCGTTGGAACAAGGGGAGAAGGGAACACACGGGCACCAAGACCACACAGCGCGGTGGAAGCCCAGACACCACGACGCGGGGATGCACGAGAAGTGTTTCTCTGAGACAGAGACATGGGAACACTTTCGACAGCACTCACAGGACACCGACGCCAGGGACAGCAAAGCATCAACGCCACAGTATCTCAAGACTGAACAACATGGGTGACCTTGTAATCCCCATGGCATGCGAGGACCGGGGCGACAACGAGACGCAGCGCGAGAAAAGTGGAAGACCAATGCACTGGGACACGACCACGCCGAGACACCGTGGGAGTGGATCAGGAGGATCAGGATAGCCAACGCACCCCGACACCAAGACGATAGGTCACCGGGGACACCAATAAATTACGACTGGGATTCCCAGATGAATGTACGCCATAGAGGGGACGCAGGGGAACAAAAAACAGAGCATTTCAGGGCCACTGACCACGTTCCAGACATGTGTTTGCCTTCAGACGCTACAACAACGGTTTTGGGTGCTACATCACGTAGTCGGTCGCAGTGACGCAAGAACGGCTGGCCACACTTTGTCAGCAGGACGATGATGCATCGCGCAGGCGCAAGGACTGGAGCTTTCGTGAAATTTGGTGTGACTGGCTTTCGAACCGAAAAGCGGCTACAGTACACTAGGGGAACCTCCGCAGCATTTCCCATCCTGTATCGGGAGGGACGATGACATCCGGTTCGCAAGGGTATGCAGGGACGGGCATCTGACAGTTTTCTTTCGCTGTGTGCATCGCTGTCGGCTGCACAGTACTATGCATTTTCGAGTTGTTGTGGATGTTGCCACGACCTGAAGAATCGGTCAAGAGTTTTCAGGCTCGCGGCAGGCGTGTGCGTTCTTGTTGCAACAGTTCGATGCTATTCAGACATCGTTCCGTGTTCGTTGCACCCTGTCGACCAGGACGATGACGGATGGCGCTGGCCCAAGGACTGGAGCTTGTGCAACCTGTGATGTAGTCTTCGTTTCGAAGTTGGGCGGCCGCTGCATATGAAGAGTTGCTTCCTCAACATGCCTTGGATGTTTCGGACGGTGCTAGTCACTGCTCGTCAGTGCAGAGTGCCGCCAAGTTTGTGTTGTTCTTCGAAGCAGTCGGTGGCAGTGACACGAGAACGGCTGGCCACGCTTTGTCAGCAGGATGATGATGCATCGCGCAGGCGCAAGGACTGCCTTTTGAATCTCGCAGCCCAAACACTAGAGTCACTAGGGGGTACATCACGGATGTTTTTATATATTTATTTTGCGAGGCTTTTGAGCGGCGTTTCTCGTTTCGTACCGGTAGCCGTGACGACATGTTGCTGCGGAGCATTTGCGACTAGGACGATGATGCATCGCGCAGGCGAAAGGACTGGACATTGCATGAATGAATAGCGTGTCGTGGATGTTCTTCTGTGAGTTTCTGCGACGTGTCCCTTCGCGTACGTACCGTTCAGGACGACGACAGATGGTTGGGAAGACGACGCAAGGACGCATCTGACGATTCCAGCTGGCAGTGTAGCTGCTGTGTGATGCTGAGAGAGACGGCAACAGCAAGAGGATTGTTTCCGCAGCGTACGCGGTTCAATGCCGTACAACGAACCCGTTTCGTAAGCGCACGAATTCAACATTCAATTAATTTGCTGAAGGTTCTTCGTTTCGAAGATGTAGATGTAGTGCAGCGTTGGAACAAGGGGAGAAGGGAACACACGGGCACCAAGACCACACAGCGCGGTGGAAGCCCAGACACCACGACGCGGGGATGCACGAGAAGTGTTTCTCTGAGACAGAGACATGGGAACACTTTCGACAGCACTCACAGGACACCGACGCCAGGGACAGCAAAGCACCAACGCCACAGTATCTCAAGACTGAACAACATGGGTGACCTTGTAATCCCCATGGCATGCGAGGACCGGGGCGACAGCGAGACGCAGCGCGAGAAAAGTGGAAGACCAATGCACTGGGACACGACCATGCCGAGACACCGTGGGAGTGGATCAGGAGGATCAGGATAGCCAACGCACCCGACACCAAGACGATAGGTCACCGAAAACCAATAAATTACGACTGGGATTCCCAGATGAATGTACGCCATAGAGGGGACGCAAGGGAATCAAAAGCAGAGCATTTCAGGGCCACTGACCACGTTCCAGACACGTGTTTGCCTTCAGCCGCTACAACAACGGTTTTGGGTGCTACATCACGTAGTCGGTCGCAGTGACGCAAGAACGGCTGACCACACTTTGTCAGCAGGACGATGATGCATCGCGCAGGCGCAAGGACTGGAGCTTTCGTGAAATTTGGTGTGACTGGCTTTCGAACCGAAAAGCGGCTACAGTACACTAGGGGAACCTCCGCAGCATTTCCCATCCTGTATCGGGAGGGACGATGACATCCGGTTCGCAAGGGTATGCAGGGACGAGCATCTGACAGTTTTCTTTCGCTGTGTGCATCGCTGTCGGCTGCACAGTACTATGCATTTTCGAGTTGTTGTGGATGTTGCCACGACCTGAAGAATCGGTCAAGAGTTTTCAGGCTCGCGGCAGGCGTGTGCGTTCTTGTTGCAACAGTTCGATGCTATTCAGACATCGTTCCGTGTTCGTTGCACCCTGTCGACCAGGACGATGACGGATGGCGCTGGCCCAAGGACTGGAGCTTGTGCAACCTGTGATGTAGTCTTCGTTTCGAAGTTGGGCGGCCGCTTCATATGAAGAGTTGCTTCCTCAACATGCCTTGGATGTTTCGGACGGTGCTAGTCACTGCTCGTCAGTGCAGAGTGCCGCCAAGTTTGTGTTGTTCTTCGAAGCAGTCGGTGGCAGTGACACGAGAACGGCTGGCCACGCTTTGTCAGCAGGATGATGATGCATCGCGCAGGCGCAAGGACTGCCTTTTGAATCTCGCAGCCGCAACACTAGAGTCACTAGGGGGTACATCAAGGATGTTTTTTCTTTTTATTTTTTTTGCGAGGCTTTTGTGCGGCATTTCTCGCTTTGTACCGGTAATCGTGACGACACTGGATATGCGACTAGGACGATGATGCATCGCGCAGGCGCAAGGACTGGAGCTTTCGTGAAATGTGGTGTGACTGCCTTTCGAGTGGAACAACGGCTACAGTACACTAGGGGAACTTCCGCAGCATTTATCGGTATGGATGATCACATCTGGTTCGGAAGGGTAGGCAGGGACAGTCTTATTTCGCAGGATCGTAGCTGTGTGCATCGCTGTCTGCTGCACAGTACTATGCATTTTCGAGTTGTTGTGGATGTTGCCACGACCTGAAGAATCGGTCAAGAGTTTTCAGGCTCGCGGCAGGCGTGTGTGTTCTCGTTGCAACAGTTCGATGCTATTCAGACATCGTTCCGTGTTTTCGTTGCACCCTGTCGACCAGGACGATGACGGATGGCGCTGGCCCAAGGACTGGAGCTTGTGCAACCTGTGATGTAGTCTTCGTTTCGAAGTTGGGCGGCCGCTGCATATGAAGAGTTGCTTCCTCAACATGCCTTGGATGTCTCGGACGGTGCTAGTCACTGCTCATCAGTGCAGAGTGCCGCCAAGTTTGTGTTGTTCTTCGAAGCAGTCGGTGGCAGTGACACGAGAACGGCTGGCCACGCTTTGTCAGCAGGATGATGATGCATCGCGCAGGCGCAAGGACTGACTTTTGAATGTCGCAGCCGCAACACTAGAGTCGCTAGGGGGGTACAACAAGGATGTTTTTTCTTCTTTTTTTTTGCGAGGCTTTTGTGCGGCATTTCTCGCTTTGTACGGCAATCGTGACGACACTGCATATGCGACTAGGACGACGATGCATCGCGCAGGCGAAAGGACTGGGATTTGCATCAATAGCAGCGTGTAGTGGATGTGCTTAGGTGAGTTTCCGCGACTTTTGACGGAAGTAAAGGACGATGACAGCTGGTTGGGAAGACGACGCAAGGACGCATCTGTCGATATCTGACGATTCCAGCTGGCAGGGTAGCTGCTGCGCGAAGCTGCGTGCATCGACTGTTTGCAGCCCTCACGCGCCAACAGAGTCAGCAGCAGCGACAGCATTGTTTCCGCAGCGTAAGCGTTCAATGCCGTACAACGAACCCGTTTCCTAATCGCACGAACTCAAAATTCAATTAATTTGCTGAAGGTTCTTCGTTTCGAAGATGTAGATGTAGTGCAGCGTTGGAACAAGGGGAGAAGGGAACACACGGGCACCAAGACCGCACAGCGCGGTGGAAGCTCAGACACCACGACGCGGGGATGCACGAGAAGTGTTTCTCTGAGACAGAGACATGGGAACGCTTTCGACAGCACTCACAGGACACCAACGCCAGGGACAGCAAAGCACCGACGTCACAATATCCCAAGACTGAACAACATGGGTGACCTTGTAATCCCCATGGCATGCGAGGACCGGAGCGACAACCAGACGCAGCGCGAGAAAAGTGGAAGACCAATGCAGTGGGACACGACCACGCGGAGTGGGAGTTCATCAGGACAACCGGGGCACGCCGACACCAAGACAATAGTTCACCGCGGACACCAAGAAATTACGACTGGGATTCCCAGATGAAGGGGATGTACCACGATCAGAACGCCGGGACACGCCATAGAGGGAACGCAAGGGAAAAGCAGGTCAGAGTTTTTCAGGGCCACTGACTACGCTCCATGACACGTGTTTGCCTTCAGCCGCTACAACAACGTCAGGGATGCTCGTTTGCGCTTTCCTAACCGGAGGCTGATCTTGCCTCCAGCGGGGCAGTGTCAGCGCCGGCCCATCTGCTCCCGAAAGGAGTAGCTCTAGCTGCCAACGGGGAACCCCCACGTCTAAGAGCTTCTGCCACGACTCTGAAACAGCAGCCAAAGAGAACGCCTCAGCCCTAACTGCCTCACATAGTCGGTCGCAGTGACACAAGAATGGCTGGCCACACTTTGTCACCAGGACGATGATGCATCGCGCAGGCGCAAGGACAGCCGTTTGAATCTCACAGCGGCAACACTAGAGTCACTAGAGGGTACATCAAGGATGTGTTTTTTTGCGAGGCTTTTGTGCGGCATTTCTCGTCTTGTACCGGTAATCGTGACGACATGTTCCTGTAGTGCATATTAAATATGAGACTAGGACGACGATGCATCGCGCAGGCGAAAGGACTGGAACTTGCATGAATGAATAAGGTGTCGTGGATGTGCTTCCGTGAGTTTCTGCGACTTTACCCTACCCGGAAGTACCGTTCAGGACGATGACAGCTGGTTGGGAAGACGACGCAAGGACGCATCTGACGATTCCAGCTGGCAGGGTAGCTGCTGCGCGAAGCTGCGTGCATCGACTGTTTGCAGCCTTCACGCGCCAACAGAGTCAGCAGCAGCGACAGCATTGTTTCCGCAGCGTAAGCGTTCAATGCCGTACAACGAACCCGTTTCCTAATCGCACGAACTCAAAATTCAATTAATTTGCTGAAGGTTCTTCGTTTCGAAGATGTAGATGTAGTGCAGCGTTGGAACAAGGGGAGAAGGGAACACACGGGCACCAAGACCGCACAGCGCGGTGGAAGCTCAGACACCACGACGCGGGGATGCACGAGAAGTGTTTCTCTGAGACAGAGACATGGGAACGCTTTCGACAGCACTCACAGGACACCAACGCCAGGGACAGCAAAGCACCGACGTCACAATATCTCACGACTGAACAACATGGGTGACCTTGTAATCCCCATGGGATGCGGGGAACGGAGCGACAACAAGACGCAGCGCGAGAAAAGTGGAAGACCAATGCAGTGGGACACGACCACGCCGAGACAGCGTGGGAGTGGATCAGGACAACCGGGCACGCCGACACCAAGACAATAGTTCACCGCGGACACCAAGAAATTACGACTGGGATTCCCAGATGAAGGGGATGTACCACGATCAGAACGCCGGGACACGCCATAGAGGGAACGCAAGGGAAAAGCAGGTCAGAGTTTTTCAGGGCCACTGACTACGCTCCATGACACGTGCTTGCCTTCAGCCGCTACAACAACGTCAGGGATGCTCGTTTGCGCTTTCCTAACCGGAGGCTGATCTTGCCTCCAGCGGAGCAGTGTCAGCGCCGGCCCATCTGCTCCCGAAAGGAGTAGCTCTAGCTGCCAACGGGGAACCCCCACGTCCAAGAGCTTCTGCCACGACTCTGAAACAGCAGCCAAAGAGAACGCCTCAGCCCTAACTGCCTCACATAGTCGGTCGCAGTGACGCAAGAACGGCTGACCACACTTTGTCAGCAGGACGATGATGCATCGCGCAGGCGCAAGGACTGGAGCTTTCGTGAAATTTGGTGTGACTGGCTTTCGAACCGAAAAGCGGTTACAGTACACTAGGGGAACTTCCGCAGCATTTCCCATCCTGTATCGGGAGGGACGATGACATCCGGTTCGCAAGGGTATGCAGGGACGGGCATCTGACAGTTTTCTTTCGCTGTGTGCATCGCTGTCGGCTGCACAGTACTATGCATTTTCGAGTTGTTGTGGATGTTGCCACGACCTGAAGAATCGGTCAAGAGTTTTCAGGCTCGCGGCAGGCGTGTGCGTTCTTGTTGCAACAGTTCGATGCTATTCAGACATCGTTCCGTGTTCGTTGCACCCTGTCGACCAGGACGATGACGGATGGCGCTGGCCCAAGGACTGGAGCTTGTGCAACCTGTGATGTAGTCTTCGTTTCGAAGTTGGGCGGCCGCTGCATATGAAGAGTTGCTTCCTCAACATGCCTTGGATGTCTCGGACGGTGCTAGTCACTGCTCATCAGTGCAGAGTGCCGCCAAGTTTGTGTTGTTCTTCGAAGCAGTCGGTGGCAGTGACACGAGAACGGCTGGCCACGCTTTGTCAGCAGGATGATGATGCATCGCGCAGGCGCAAGGACTGACTTTTGAATCTGACAGCGACAACACTAGAGTCACTCCAGGGTACATCAAGGATGTTTTTTGCGAGGCTTTTGTGCGGCATTTCTCGTTTTGTACCGGTAATCGTGACGACATGTTGCTGGAGAGCATACAGCATGCGACTAGGGCGATCAGGAGAAAGGACTGGAATTTGCATGAATATGGTGTCGCGGATGTGCTTCCGTGAGTTTCTGCGACTCTTCCCTGCTCGGAAGTACTTCAGGACGATAACAGCTGGTTGGGAAGACGACGCAAGGACGCACCTGACGATTCCAGCTGGCAGTGTAGCTGCTGAGTGATGCTGCGTGCATCGACTGTTTGCAGCCCTCACGTGCCCTCAGAGACCGCAGCAGCAACAGCAGTGTTTCCGCAGTGGAAGCGCTTCATTGCCGTACAACAAACCCGTTTCGTAAGCACTCGAGCACGGAATTCACAGATATCTATTGGTAACGTGCGGTGTGACCGCCTGCATTTCTTCTCTTCCCAGTAGATTGCTCTCCTACGGTTGAGGATGGTGATGATGGACTGCGAAGACGGCGCAAGGACTGGCAAAGTTCTTGCCGGGGATGCGAACCAATGTGCATCCCAAAAGCGGGTAGCCGCGGGTCTTGCAAAGTCTTCTGCAGCGGCTATGGCTTGGACGCCAGGACCGATCAGACTGAGGATCCGGCTTCAGAGGCCTGCGGCCTACCACGGTGTGCAACCGCACCATGTCTAGCACATCACGGCCATTCGGAGCCGGGCATCCTCAGCCCATAGCATAGCCCATGCAGGCACCTGGCTGAAGGCAGCCCAGTTCCTGAGCTCCGAGTGAAGCACGTGCCTGGCCCCGGCTAATTGAAGATTCTGTTGCAGCAAGGCATTGCTTTGAAGAGCCGATTGGGTCGCGGGGCCGGGCGCGCCATGCCTCGCGCAGCAGCCACAAAGATCTGTGGCCTTTTAAAAGAAGTTAGACAAGTTTGTATTTTGGCATAGGTAGCTTCGCATGGAGTGAGAGCTGTGGAAGGTTACCGGGGCAGAAGGTTGGGAGAGAAGAGAGCCTGAAGCTGCAAGTTGAGCTGCCCCAGGTGTTCAGTTCCATTGCTCGCAGTCCAAGTTGTTTCCTTAAAAAGGCGACGGCAGAGGCTACAATTTTTGGGGATTTCCATCCAGGATTTTGGCACGGCGGAGCTTCACCATTGCAGACGACGAACAATACGATCGTCGCCCTGCTTTCGGCAAGCCCGTTCGTGCATGGCGCCGATTCGCACAATGTCAGCAGATTGCTTGTCGTGCTCGGAGTCCTTTCGTGTGGTTGGGAGCAACGCTTGCCTCGGCCACGTGCTTAAAAATGTCCACCGGCCGAGCCTGCAGCGGGACTTCCGGCCTTCAGGATCTGCGGTTTCAGATGTCTCGGGCTTTCGCATGGCTCAGTCGAAGCTGGAAGAGAGCTGCACACAAGACAAGTAGTGAACTTGAAGAGGTTCCGCTCAAGTGCTCCAAGAACCTGCGTCGAACCACTGCATGCTAGCCTGATACGCTCTTGCAGCTTTCATGCTCGACAGGCTTCGGCCTTGAACCATACACCGTGAATGTGAATGTAAAGGTTACCGGGACATGGCGACGGTGGTTTTCGCGCATTTTGGTGCGAGTGCCGTTGCGCTGATTCTCCGTTCTCAGTGCTGCACTCAGCTTGGAGCTTCGGTGATCACGGTGGGCGAAGGGCTGGGCGTGTTGACCGGTCCCAGAACTCGGCCAGCCTTGCGCTGCGCGGCGAGATGCTCGAGCCTCAGAGAAAGAGAAGGCGTCGGAAGGGGATCTGGATGTCAAAGCTTCCGGCTTGGCAGGCTACTTGGGCATTTCCCGCTGTCTCTGCTGCGGTCGAAGGGAGGAATCTGACAGTCCCGTGCCGCAGCGGCGCCGCTGTGCCGGCATCAAGTGGTGACCAGCTGCGATGAGCGGTCGAACATTTGAGCTCTGTTTTTATTCATCGAGGGAGCGAAGCTGCCGCACATGGTTGGGGCAGCATGCAAGCATTGAAGAGCATCCCAAGTTGCCAGTCAAAGCATCTGCGGTATCCCGACCTTACCCACCTCTGTTCCACAGGCGCCCTAGCGCGGGAGGTACTGGTTCCACTTGGCCATACAAGTGGCCTTCGCAATGCGTGAGGCGCTGGTCGTTTCGGCTCTGAGCTGGAACTGGGCAGCTTGACAGCACATGGAAAGGAATTGGGACGTTTACGACTCAAGAGAGTTCAGAATGATTCAACGCAACGGGCATCAGGAGTTGCTCTTTGTTCATTCCGCCACGTGGCTTACCTTGGCGACTCTCGGCGCGCAGGACAAGGTCCAGGACCAGGAAGCTTCTCCTCCGTGCTTTGACTCAGGATCGTGACTCGGGAGGCTCGTCTCCCGCTTGGTTGTAGGACTCATAAGATTTCATAAGCTGTGTCGTGCGAAGCTCGAGCCTCACGTGCTGCCGTCAAGGCTCTTTCAGACTCATCGTCGTTGTTGTTGACATTCCTCTAAACCGGAGGCTCGAGAAACCAATGACACGAGGATCTGAAAGCAGAGCTTGTTGGTTTCTCCCCATCAACCAGGGGCCGGAGCGACGCAATCGAAGGGAAGCCAAAAATAATCGAAGCGCGCCAAAGCCTTGTATGCAGGTTTGGCTCTTCTCGGGGATTCGTGAAGGCTCCGAGAAGCGGAAGGTTGCCGTAGACGGGCTGCTGGATATGCTCCTGCTCCCGGCACCTTAGCACAAGAACGATCTGCAGAGGGCAAGAGGTTGAGTTTTGCAGCTTCAGGTGAACATCATCTTTTTCTGTGCCGTGTGTATCCGCGTTCTGAGACTTGGAGAGGGCAAGAGCTCTGCTGTTTAGTCGATGGGAGGACGGGTTCCAGGAAGGGCAGATGGTTCCTTGGTTTGTGACTCACAGCACCCGGTCGTCATGGAAGGTCTTGCTTAGACTTGCCTGAGGAAACTTCAGCCCGATACGCAGATGGGAAAGCTGCTCTGATGCGTTCGGTGAAGTTTCATCCATGTGACTCTCAAAACCTGATGCTGGCCGTAGCATGCCATAACTCCACAGCCACGCCTGTGCGAAGCTGGGTGCTGTTTCTCGACTAGGATGGTTCCGGTCATCATCGAAAGTGGTGACATCTACGAAGCCTTTGCTCTCTGGTCGGTGCTGGTTCTCTTCGTCAAGGCCATGCTGTGTATGTCAGCTGAGTGATGCTGAGTGCCCAACCCCCAGGTGGTGCAAGCCGAGATGGCGGGAAGCCACTCCAACGCCATGAGCTCTTTCAGGCCAGGCGGCGAGAATGTAATTTAAACTCTGCTGGAGGATCGCAGGGCAAGTGCCGGGCGCAAGCCAGCTGCGCAAGTGCCTGAGGTCCTTCAAGGCAATCAGTTTGCAGGGCGTCAAAGCTTGGGTATTCATCCAGTCAGCGGCCGTCCTTTTGCTGCTTGCCGTTATCCCTGCTGCGAATGCTGCGATCGTGTCAGGAATGTTGAAAAATGCCCACCTAGGAAGCTCGCTCTTCAAGGCGTCGTGGCTGTTTACGTCCCAACCTTCTGCTACTGGGCTTCGAAGTCCTGCACCAGCTGCGAGCAGCTTTACGAGGACGGCTTCCGTGTTGAGGCTCATGGGTTTGGGGCTTCAAGACTTGCCAGGAGAACATCGCCATTGCTCTCTCTGCTGTGACCTTCTTGCTTTGCTCCCTGCCTGTACATTTCCTGCGAAAAATCTGAACTCGTGCGGACTGCGGAGCTCAGGCTCCTTTGCCATCATGTTTGTATTTTACTTCGAGTCTGGATACCGCCACCACTTGGAGAAGACAGAGCCTCTGTTGGGATCTTAGCCTTTCCGCGCTGGCTGCACCTCTGGAAAACACCAATCGTGCATTGCAGGTGGAAGTTCCTGGGCGTGAAAGGCAGGACGAATTCCAATCAACGACCATACACATGTAGTGACATTGTGCCACTCGCAGCCCGTCCAACGGCACGATGATTTCGGGCGTGCTGCTACTGTACCGGGAGATTCTGCTTGAAAGGGCGCAGATACGATGTGACGACACTTGCAGGCATCGTTTCCGTGACCTACTTTCAGTGGCTGGTTATCTCTGTCCTTGCCTCGCCTCTGAAGTGGACCGGAAATCAGGTCTACCTGTTCCACTGCCACTTGGTGAAGCTTCTTTCATGACTATGGACTTTGGCCCATTGAGGACATTCGCAATGCACTGCAGGCTTGCTCTATGCATTCTGGATGCCACTGCTTGCGCTGGTGCACACCTTCCTTGCTTCCTGGCTTCACATTGGGGCTTGATGTTCGCATCGTGGAAAGGGTTGTGGATGTTGTGGCGCGCAGGAGTGCGAGTGAGATGTTCCTCTTTCCGTAGTCAGCGAGCCGAGGCCTACCCGTTCTACTCCCTTCGCAGCTCTGAGAGCTCGGACAGCCGAGATTGGGTTCATGTCATCTCCTGCAGCGATGCTTGAAGCTTGGACTCGTTCCCCCTCCATCGTTTCTCGAACCCGTCGGGTGTCCTTCATGGCCCATCTCGTCGCAGGACCTCGCCCCATGGCTCCTTGCTTGGCTTAAGACCCTCGGCGTCGGCGAGGAGCGCGCTGCAATTCGAAAAAGGTACTTAAGGGTGTCTTCGTCCCTGCCCCTGCCGCTTCCTCCGCCCGCAGCCCTCCCACTGCCTGCCGCTGGCCGCCGGTCCCTGCTCTGCCTCTGCTCCTCTTCCGATCCCTCTCCCCTTCTGCCATGGATGGATGGATGGATCGATGGATGGATCTGTCTCTCTCCGTCTCTCTCACTCTCTCTCCCCCTGTGTCTCCCTGTCTCTCCCGCTCTCTCTGTGTCTCTTTGTGTCTCTCTGTGTCTCTGTGTCTCTGTGTCTCTCTGTGTCTCTCTCTGTGTCTCTCTCTGTCTCTGTGTCTCTCTGTGTCTCCCTGTCTCTCTCCGTCTCTCTCACTCTCTCTCCCCCTGTGTCTCCCTGTCTCTCCCGCTCTCTCTGTGTCTCTTTGTGTCTCTCTGTGTCTCTCTGTGTCTCTCTGTGTCTCTCTGTGTCTCTCTCTGTGTCTCTCTCTCTGTCTCTGTGTCTTTCTGTGTCTCCCTGTCTCTCTCCGTCTCTCTCACTCTCTCTCCCCCTGTGTCTCCCTGTCTCTCCCGCTCTCTCTGTGTCTCTTTGTGTCTCTCTCTCTCTCTGTGTCTCTCTGTGTCTCTCTCTGTGTCTCTCTCTCTGTCTCTGTGTCTCTCTGTGTCTCTCTGTGTCTCCCTGTCTCTCTCCGTCTCTCTCACTCTCTCTCTCCCCCTGTGTCTCCCTGTCTCTCCCGCTCTCTCTGTGTCTCTTTGTGTCTCTCTCTCTGTGTCTCTGTGTCTCTCGTGTCTCTCTCTGTGTCTCTCTCTCTCTGTCTCTGTGTCTCTCTGTGTCTCCCTGTCTCTCTCCGTCTCTCTCACTCTCTCTCCCCCTGTGTCTCCCTGTCTCTCCCGCTCTCTCTGTGTCTCTTTGTGTCTCTCTGTGTCTCTGTGTCTCTCTGTGTCTCTCTCTGTGTCTCTCTCTCTGTCTCTGTGTCTCTCTGTGTCTCCCTGTCTCTCTCCGTCTCTCTCACTCTCTCTCCCCCTGTGTCTCCCTGTCTCTCCCGCTCTCTCTGTGTCTCCTGTCTCTCCCCCTCTCTCTGTGTCTCTTTGTGTCTCTCTGTGTCTCTGTGTCTCTGTGTCTCTCCGTGTCTCTCTCTGTGTCTCTCTCTCTCTGTCTCTGTGTCTCTCTGTGTCTCCCTGTCTCTCTCCGTCTCTCTCACTCTCTCTCCCCCTGTGTCTCTCTGTCTCTCCCGCTCTCTCTGTGTCTCTTTGTGTCTCTCGTGTCTCTGTGTCTCTCTGTGTCGCTCTCTCTGTCTCTGTGTCTCTCTGGTCTCCCTGTCTCTCTCCGTCTCTCTTCATCTCTCTACACCTGTGTCTCACTGTATCTCCCGATCTCTCTGTGTCTCTTTGGTCTTCTGTGTCTCTCTGTGTCTCTCTGTGTCTCTCTTCTGGTGTCTCTCTCTCTCGTCTCTGGTTTCTCGTGTGTCTCCCTGTCTTTCAGCTCTTCCTCACTCCTCTCTCACCCTGTGCTCTCACTGTCTTTCCGCTCTCTCTGGGTCTCTTTGTGTCTCTCTGGTGTTCTCTGTGTCTCTCTGTGTCTCTCTGGTCTCTCTCTGTGTCTCTCTCTGTGTCTCTCTCTCTGTCTCTGTGTCTTTCTGTGTCTCCCTGTCTCTCTCCGTCTCTCTCACTCTCTCTCCCCCTGTGTCTCCCTGTCTCTCCCGCTCTCTCTGTGTCTCTTTGTGTGTCTCTGTGTCTCTGTGTCTCTCTGTGTCTCTCTCTGTGTCTCTCTCTCTGTCTCTGTGTCTCTCTGTCTCTCTCCGTCTCTCTCACTCTCTCTCCCCCTGTGTCTCCCTGTCTCTCCCGCTCTCTCTGTGTCTCTTTGTGTCTCTCTGTGTCTCTGTGTCTCTCTGTGTCTCTCTGTGTCTCTCTTTGTGTCTCTCTCTCTCTGTCTCTGTGTCTCTCTGTGTCTCCCTGTCTCTCTCCGTCTCTCTCACTCTCTCTCCCCCTGTGTCTCCCTGTCTCTCCCGCTCTCTCTGTGTCTCTTTGTGTCTCTCTGTGTTTCTGTGTCTCTCTGTGTCTCTCTCTGTGTCTCTCTCTCTGTCTCTGTGTCTCTCTGCGTCTCCCTGCCTCTCTCCGTCTCTCTCACTCTCTCTCCCCCTGTGTCTCCCTGTCTCTCCCGCTCTCTCTGTGTCTCTTTGTGTCTCTCTGTGTCTCTCTGTATGTCTCTCTCTGTGTCTCCCTGTCTCTCTCCGTCTCTCTCACTCTCTCTCCCCCTGTGTCTCCCTGTCTCTCCCGCTCTCTCTGTGTCTCTTTGTGTGTCTCTGTGTCTCTCTGTGTCTCTCTCTGTGTCTCTCTCTCTGTCTCTCTCTCTCTGTCTCTGTGTCTCTCTGTGTCTCCCTGTCTCTCTCCGTCTCTCTCACTCTCTCTCCCCCTGTGTCTCCCCTGCTCTCCCGCGCTCTCTTGTCTCTTTGTGTCTCTCTGTGTCTCTGTTCTCTCTGTGTCTCTCTATAGATTCTCTCCTCTTTGTCTCTCTC